CGGTGTGAGGGAGACAAGAGAGAGGAGGCTTATTGTGTAGGACTTTCACTATCACTAACGGAATCACTGCTATCTATTGGCTCAATGGAATCTTTTTCTTTTCGTGCAACTTTAACCTATCCAATGACGCTTGCTTTTGCCTCCTTTTGAGGATTTCGCAGAAATGTGACACTGCATTGTCGTTAAACAGATTCATCGCCCGCACTGCTACAGCCTTATTCGGGTGGTGCTTTTCTACAAAATTTTGCACTGTTTCCCACATTTTACACATCTCCCTAATCTCATTTGAAGTGAGGGATTCCTCCGCCTTTTTCTCCTCCTCCTCTGCAGATGAGATCTCCTCCATAACCTCTTCTTGTTGCTCGCGATGCAGATCCATCAGTTCGTCGGTGGTCAGCTCCTGGCCATGTTCCTCCACCAGCTCTTGAATGTCATCCTCATTCACCTCCAGTCCCATGGTCTTCCCCAAGGACACAATTTCATCATCCGAACTCGCAGCCTCTCTGTGCCTCACAACACTATGGATGCCACTTCTCCTCTTAAAGTTATCAAACCATCCCCTGCTTGCCTTGAAGCCTTCTTCGTTTTCTGTTGATGTACCTGGCAGTTTACTTACGAGATCGGTGTATAAGGCCCTTGCCTTTTCGCAGATAAAGTTCTCGGTCACAGTATCACCTGCTAGTTGCTTCTCGTTTATCCAAACCAGAAGCAACTTTTCTCCATCTTCCAGAACACGTGGCCGTTGCTTTGATATTCTCGTGACTCCTTCTGCTGCATCTAGCCCCCTTATTTCTTCTTTTTTCTTTAATATTGTGCAAATGGTCGACGTAGACTTTTTATAAAATCTTGCAATTTCGGCCACTCGCATACCTCGTTCGTACTTCTCGATTATTTCCTTCTTAACTTCCACTGTAATCATCTCCTTCTTCTTACCGCCTTTCTTTTCAACCTTTTTCTGCATGGGGGCCATTGTATACGCTCACACGGATGTTGACTACAGTACAATATTAATAAACTCTTGTCATACACTGTATTTAATGTAACTGGCAATAAAGCAGCAGAGGAAAGGGTCTATATCTGCAGGCAGCCTGACCTAGAATGAAGCAAAGCATTCCTAAGCTTACTCTGGTATGGAAAAGCAAAGGACTGTCCATAGGTGCTTTGAAGTGACAAAAAATACAGTACACAAGTGCCAGTTGTGGGCACCTTCCAACGTTCTGAAAAATCACTGATTTCTGCCAAACACCGCAGCCTGAGACTGAGCATCCAAGCATGGGAGACGATCACCCACAATCCCGCAGCGAGAGAATCACCATTGGCTCAGTTGTGATCATGTGACGTTCAGCGTCACATACTACTTGTATTGCAAGACATCGCTCGTTTATCAAGTTAAAATTTATTAGAAATGTTTGCTCATCTTGCAGAACACTCGCAGAACAAGTTACTCACAATCCAAGGTTTTACTGTAAACCTACCCTTCTCTTTTCACAATTTTGAGTAGCAGAGCCTTTTATCACTGACCTGGACTTTAAACTTCAGGGACTGAATTTATTAAGTGACTTTCAGGAAGAGTTCCCTTCTTCTTAAAAACTGCCAGAGTTGTTGGTTAGCTAGCCTCACCACCATTCATTGTTTGACACTTACATCTTTGGTCTCTTGAAAAGAAAAAAAAAAGACGGAGAAGTAAATATTTCTTAATATATAGCAAGCCCTTAATGCACTGCTAAGCAGGACCTGCCACCTAACCTTACACATTATCAGTGAAGAACATGTTTTTCCTCTGAGCAGATGGCAAGACAGTTCTAGTTTCTCTTTGTAGAAATTATGCAACAGCCAACATGTCTGCTATGAAAGAATTCACTGTTCAATTTGTTGCTTTTATTTTTAATTTGTAAAACTTTTACATTTTTTCCCCCAGCAATGACATTAAATTATATGTCAGAATTTTATGCTATTGTTAAGGGCACTTGAGTTCTGTCCTCCCTTAAGCTTTGCCTTCTTTTGAAAAAAAAATATAAGATGTATGAATATTCTCAGAATCCACAAATATTGTCCAATCTTACCCATCATATTGTCAATTTCCAGATTTGGATCCCACCAATATTATTTTCTTTTGTGACTAGAGACAAATTTTCTTACCTTCCCATCTCTCTCTCCAAAAACAATAATCAAAACATCTGGAAAGAGATGAATGTCTCTTCGATTTTGAAGGTTGTGAGATGGTATTCCAGGTATGGGAAAACCTGGCATCTTTTCCCTGTAATTTCAACAGGGAATACTAAGTAGATCAAGCTAGAATAACAGGTAATGGAAAGTTTTACCCCTAGTGTATTACTGAAACCCGGAAAAAATGAGTAATTGGAATTATAACTGTCCTTTTCTCTGCTGGAACCAAGCCATGTCAATCATGCAGCTGGGACCAAACCACTGGCCTAGAGCTTGCAGAAAACATGACGAGTGAAACAGAGAATATGAGTAAATTAAGAACTTGTTATAAACAGTGTATGCATACACTGACTTGGTGCCCACTTTTGGCCATGTTACTAAACTACTCCTAGAATGTCATTCTCCATAGTACAGAGTTGCATACCTGTAACAAGTGAGTCTTCCAGCAAAATGTTCTGGTTGTTTGACCTAGTACATTATCCAGGTCTTTCTACTCAATGTTCCTTTCTATTTCCCTTCCCACCTGATTTCCTCTCCAGGTTTAGGGTCTCTCAGCTGTATTTTTCTTACAGCACTGTACTTCTACAAAATTTTGGTATTGTTGTTTTGCCAATCTTCAAGTGGTACTTGCATCAAATTTAAAAAAAAATAACATAACCAAAACCAGGGAAATATACAGGTAGTCCCCAGTTTAAGAACAAGTTTGAGTTCATTACAGGTGTTCTTAACCCAGGGACTACCTGTAGTCAAGTTACATGTAGTTACTAATGAAGAGAACAGGCACTAATATTTGAGACATTTAAATCCACTCCTGTAGCTGGTAAAGTTGGGATCTGAATACTCAATTCTGAATTCTTACACTGTCATCTGATGGGGCGCCAAATGACAGTATAACAAAGTTCAGAAGACATATTGTCTTTATAGAAAGCAACAATTAAGAGCATCCTGTTGTCCTACTGTAAGACACTAAATTGATCCTTGTCACTATGTTATACACAAAAATAAAAATTGCAGTCATTAAGCCTTCCATTTTGCACCTCAGGAGCTTCTTTCAGGAATCCAAAAGTTAAATGGTTGTAAATAACAGAAGCTGCAGATCATTCTACTATGGCAATGTGATTAATACATACATACATAAAAGGTACTTATGGGCTTTTGCACACTACAGCTGTAAGCTGCTTGACTCCCATACATAAACTGGCTGCAAGTGCAGCTGTCTCAGGAAATCCCTTTCTAGAGTTCAACCCCTTCATCTGCTTTGGCCACACTGATGGCCTGATGTTTTGTCCAGACCATATTTACCACAGCCTTTGATGGGTTGATTCTTTGGCTTCTTTAGCTCTCTGGACTAATAAAAAAACCCTAAATTTTACTTCATGTTACAATTTTTCCCATCACTTGGGCTAGAAGGGCAAAGGGGCAGAACTCTTGCCAATTTTACCTGGTTGAAAAAAAGAAAAAGACAGGTCCATCCATTGTTTTATCAGCTTGTAAAAAAACAAAAACAAAAAACTCAGTTTTTCACCAGTCCACTAGTGAATCTGATATATGGTATTTTAAAGAAGGTATATTACCAAACAAACAAAAAAGGAAACAAGGATAAAAGAGTAAAGTAAAATGAATCACCCAGAGTCAAGAGGCATACAAGTTTAATAAATTATTATTATTAAAATACAAATGAGTAAGCAAAGAATTTACAGATGTCATGGAAGGTATAGTTTATGACCATATCATTAGTTAATTGCGAATAACTGAATATATTATATTGTTTTTAAAGACAGAAAATCATTTTTAAACTCTGAGCAAAGCATGCATATTAGAACCCAAGAGCAGCACAACATAAATCCCAGATGAGATTCTTGGCTACAATAAATTCTATCCATATTATGAGTCTGTTCTGATTTAGAAATCCTAAAAAAACTGAAATATACTTTATGCATAGAGAAACCCAAAAGCTGAGTGTGGCACAAATCCATGTATTAATTTTGTAATCTAAGAATGGTTTTCAGTTTGAATTAAATTCTGTGTCAGATTTATCTAGACATCCTAGACCTCGAAGCATACTCCTAAAGCCCAATCATGAACTTGTAAAAACAAATGTTCATGTAAGGAACTGACAGGGGACCAGAGGGAAGAGGGCATTCTTGCTACTGTGCACAGTAGCCAACTGGAGGGAAGCAATTTGTCTACAATGAAATGAAGTTCATTGTACGCAAGTTGAACAGCACTGCTTGAGCCAGTACAAGTCAGAAAACACTATTTTTGACACATGGCAGAAAAATGGGCAGATATTGCCTTTTCAATGGGCTGGGTGCAGGCAGAGGACAATTGTGCACATCTGCCCTTGATAAATGGTCATTAGCCCATTCTTATGCTGGATCAGCCTAAATATCAGGCAACAGGGTATGTCAGCATTATTACCCATATGAGTAAATATCAAGGCAAAAAGAAAATCAGTATTAAGGGATCAAAAATTAGTTGGATAACTAGTTTTAAAAGGTCTTAAAGTAGCAGACCAGAAAGAGGATTCTAACCAGCAACTTATGGTCCTTTCAGTTATTCCTTCTTTAATCTCTTCAGGCCAACAGGAGACCCTTGACCATAATAAAGTCATTAATGCCCTATGCAAGTAATTTTGGGGGTAACTTAGGACATTGGCATGAAAGAGTAAATGTATCCAATTAAAAAACCTGATTAAAATGCAAGTTATTCAGGCTCTCGCATCAAGATACAAAAGGGCCAAAGCTGCCTCAGTGGGGGTGAAGAATGCCTACTCACAGAAGCACACTTCTCTACTGAAAATCATTGTTTTCTCTTAATATTCTTTTCTGAGAAATAGAAGCTGCAGGGTTATTTTTATTGTACCCAGAATCATATAAACAACAGCCTAATATTCCATTTTGATCAGAAACAGGTGCTGCTAAGTAGGGCAACTGGGATCAGAGAAGTAGCAAAGTGTGAGGGAGGGAGAGAAAAAGGCCTCTTTCTTGACACTTCTGTTTCAGCTGCTTCTATAGGGAGAAATTACTCCTCATCTAAACAAGCTATCAGGTAGATGATGATGATTTTCTGTGTAATCTAATTTAAACTGAACTATTTACGGACAGATCAATATAGCAGGTTTCACCAACATGAATGTTCTCCAGAGGTAACGGACTACAGTTATCATCATCCCATTCAATTGGTCAATGGCCGTGCTATGAGAGAATAGTTGGATTTGCAGGACAACACACTTGGAGAGCAGTAGGCAAGAGAAGGCTTTTAAGCACTCCTACTTGGAAGTAAGTCCCATTGAATTCAGTAAATCTTTCAAGTAGAAATATGTAAGATTGCATAGTAAATCCCACTGAAATCTGTGGGACATATTTTAAGTAAACCTGCATGATATAATGTTGCAAGTTGTATTCTTTTATTATCTAGCTATATTGGCCTTGCTGTAAGAGATCATATTTTAAAGGTTGTTTTTACCAGAGTACTATCAAGCAGCATCATTTGACTTATCTCAGAAAAATGATATGGTGCACAATCAGATGACAACTGTAATTTATTATACTACTATTTTTCTAGAAACACTGTGGGTGTGAACTACACTTGCCCTTTTCTTTCAAAGAAAATAAAATAAAAAAGTTTGAGCCATCTTAATTAAAGACCTTTAGTCTTTAATAAAATGTATTACCTATCAACAGGAGCTAGTAAGAAAAGGAGAGACTCAAAGGGATAATGGAGAGCTGAAAGCAATTTCTTTTGTTATTGCTAGAGATCAATGCTGTTGGCAGTTCTGACCAGAACACTTTGTGGAGGCAGGGCAGATAAGGCTGATAGCTCCCAAGTGCCACAACTCTATCCTATCCTATAATAAAAATTCA